AAAAAATATGCAAGAATGCAAAAAAGGAAATTACAAATGTAACAGCCCGTAGAAACTAACAAAGATAACTAAACAACAAAAGGAGAAAGCCCAGACATTCAAAATACACTTACTTCTTTTCTAGACACTCAGGTGAACCCAGAAACTCGTCATTCTCAGGTGTTTGAGGAGCTGTGGGGGTGGGGCTGGTAACTAGTGGGGTTGGGGTTGATAACTGTGGGATCTCTGAGGTCTCTTGGGTCTCTAGGGTCTTTGTGATCTGTTCGATGTCTGGGATCTGCTGGATCTGTTCGATCCCTGAGGTCTGCCGGACCTGTTCGATCCCTGAGGTCTGCCGGACCTGTTCGATCCCTGAGGTGTGCCGGACCTGTTCGATCCCTGAGGTGTGCCGGACCTGCTCTGGCCGTGATTCATGGTTATAATCTCGATAACCTGAACACTGCAAAAGCAATTGAAGTGCAATACGCTTAGAAATCAACAGAGCAGGATACAACAGAACATGATAATGCACATCATCTGCAGCTCTGGCTTTTGTCCCGTTAAATTTTTATGCGGATGATATACGACTTTATATGTCTGTAAAAATACAAGTCTTTGTTGCTTGTTAAACTCAGCAGCTGTTTTATCTTTTGTTGAAAATAGTCCAGAATGCTGCACCTGTACACTGCGAAGCAATAACAATGTAATACTGTTAGATAACTCACCTTGGGGCTTGACTGCAAAGACTTGAGGCTATTTGTGACTTTGCAAAACAATGACTTGGTCCCACCTCTGCAGTTTACGAGCCAAAGTCAAATATGACCATGCAATATAACATTATTCTACATAATCTTTGTCCTGTGTAAAGCAACGTCAACACAAATACATGCTCAGAAATCCTAATTAAGTGATAAAAACACAGAAAGAAATAAATGTAGAAATACAGTAAAAGAAAAAATGAGGGTAAAAGACTGCATGAGTTAACTCACTGTTTCAGAGTGAAAGACGATAAGAGACACCAAGACAAGAGAAACTCCAGCTGATTTCATCCTGACAAAGACAAACAGTCTGCGTTCCTCCACAGTTCAGCTTCTTGCAAAAATCTTCTTTCTCCTCATGTGCTGAAAAACTCGTCACTGATGGGCAAAAAAAAAGAAGAAATAATAAAATATATTTTACAAAGGAGAAGCAGCTGCAGATTGAGACAGAGAGACAGTAATTATCTCTGTAAGGGAGCAATGTGACTGACGGTTTGATATGTCCTCTGTCCACTGATAATGTCATCAATCAATCATTAGCTTGTCTTGTCAATGTTGACACAAACATGTGCACACAGACTCCAGTGTGATTCTGCTAACTGGCCATGCACTGTACTGAGTCGGGGGAGGGGCTGTTTGTGTGGGAAAACACATATTCCAGTAACCACATAAACACAAATATTTGGCAGTACAGTGACTCAGTACCGAAGGTCGATGTCTGAACCCAAACTGGCTGCGCTCGTTTCCTTCTACAGGCCAGAAAAGTTCAGGTCAGACAAACTGGAGGCTAAAATTTGTGTGTCGGTGTTAACAAGAAAGATTCCTGCAAATGTGATCGTGAGTGCTTTTGACAGGTTACAGTCGGAAAGTCACAGGTGTAAATAATACAGTGTATCACAGCTGACTTTAATTTAACTGTGCCAGTTTGAATTTGTTTCAGTTTAGTTTGTTTAAAAATGTTTCATTGTGGGTTAGTTTTACTAGTTTCAGTATTCATTTTAGTTTTTTTAGTTTTACATTCTGAGACCTCATATGAGGACATTTGGGGTTTCCTGCACCCTATACTTGATTCTGATGAACCTACTGTCCTCGTTCATGGACACTTTTTTGTGCACAAACCACAATACACTAATCCATGTAAAAACAAGATGGCAGCCATCTCTGCCAAATCAGTCTGCAGCCGATCCCCACACCATTAACTATAATAAATCTGGTTTCAAGGTCCTGGTGTTGCACTTGCTGGCTCACTGTCATGTTGTCATGGTTTACAGGGACATAGACATTTAAAAGAGAGCAGAGCCTTCATTAATGGCATTAGTAACACCTGTGCTTTTCCAACTATGACAAGTCAAAGCGTCTGCTGGGAAATGGCCTACTCATGCTGGGACAGGCGACCCTGAACAGGAGAGATGGATGGAAGTACAAACAAGTTAATGTTCAACATTCAATCAATAAAAAAAAGTGTTTCAAAATCACAGTTGACTTTATCTGTGAGGCCGTCAGACCTCTGAGTCTGGGTTTTCCTACATATACACACACAGAACCACAAACAACCCAAGCCTCCTGCTGCACACACATGATCAATACGATAATGGGGGCATGTACCTTTACAACAGCCTTCAAAGTGTTGGCGAGTTGGTTTGTGTACAACACACAGAGCTGAACTCAAACAGACAGAAAAGAGGCCGTGTGTCACAAACTGATGTAAAAACCCAGACTGGGACGCATATTCCAACTGCGCGGTATACATGTCCAAATAATGTTATTAACACCAGAATCACAGCAGCATACCCCACATCTTAATTTGAAATGCTACATTGTGAATAAGGCCTAATTTAGAATATCCAAATGGAACGAACTGTTCACATGATCCGCATCAAATTTAGAATAAATAATAATAAATAATAAAAGTATTTGTCATAAATAGCAAATAGATTCTTGAGTTATGTCCCTTTGGCCTTTGACCACAAAATCTGTTTATTTTCAGTCAATGTGGACATTTGTGCCACATTTAAAGGAAGTCCTTTGAGGTGTTCTTGAGATTGTGTTACAGGGATGATACGGATGGACGGATAACCTTAAACATAGTACCTGCAGCCACGGCTATTTCTGGCATGAAAATGGTGAAACATTAGTGTCAGTGTGGAAGAAGTATTCAGATCCTTTACTTCAGTAAAATTATTAATGCCAAACTGTAAAAGTACTCTGTCACTCGGAAAAGTCCTGCATTAAAATGTTACTTAAGTTAAAGTTTGTAAGTACACACAAGTATTAACAGTAAAGTCGTCATATTTCAGAAACTGGAACCATTAGATATGACTCATCAAAATAGTGCCCAATTAGTTTTTTGTCAAATTATTTCAGCTTCACTTGTGTAGTCTAATATGTCTGTGAGAAAAAAAAATCATAATTTGTAAAGTAACTCGAAACTAAAAATAACAAATAATTGCAGTGGAGTATATATCAGTCCCTCCAGAAAAACGCGATTATGCGATCGCATAATTCAATGCATAATCAGCCAAAGTCTGCATACTTATGCGGGGTCACATTTTTTCAAAGACGCCGCACTTTTGCCGCATAAATCGCTGATTTCTACGCAAAATGCGCGAAATATGCGGGGCTTGCATGATTTCATAATCCCCGCATTTTCGTTGCAAAAAAGTCACATATGTCTTAGCAGAAAGCTGAAAAATGTTACGTTTACTTCACACAAGAGCAGCCATTTCCCCCCTGTTGCCTTGGGAACGTTATGAAGTGACGTGGTGGAGGGGGAGGAGATAGAGGAGGGGGAGGAGATGGAGGTTGAGGGAGAGGGGATGGAGGATGAGGATGGCGAATGATTGGCCAGTGTTAGAGGCTACGCAGTTATAGTTTTCATTTTCACAGTGGACTGTTTTAGTTTAATTCAGGAGTTGATGCAACTTTACAGTTTGCAGATTGCACTTTTTTGTTACCAGTGGGTTAAATCATACTAGTTTCAAAAGTCTTACAGTTGTAAGTATATTAGTACATTTACGTTACAGTAAGAGATTGCACTTTGTGCACTGGAAGCACTTATTTTAACAGAAGATGTCTGTTTTGTACAGCTACCTCTGTAAAACAGGAAGCACACATTTTATTACTTTATATTTTATTTATTCATTTTTACAGAAGTTGTAGCGTATTCCTTTTGTAAAGCTACAGAACCTGTTTGACTCAGCAATGTTTTGTAAGTTTGAGCCATGTGTTTATTAAGGTCTGAAATAAAACAAGATGAGAACTTAAATATTCCCTGCACTTTCTGTGATGTAGTATGCATGCTTATCATAGGAAGTAATTAGAAATGACTCTTTACATTAAGGTAGTAGCCTAGTGACAACAGGGTGTTGGGGGAATCACTTTTTTCCCTCTTTTTCATCAAACTGCAGTTTTTGCAAGTTCCTGCAATTTTTGCAAGTTCCAAGTTCCCACAATTTTTTGCAAGTTCCCACAATTTTTACAAGTTCCTGCAATTTTTGCAAGTTCCAAGTTCCCACAATTTTTTTGCAAGTTCCCACAATTTTTACAAGTTCCCGCAATTTTTATAAGTTCCCGCAATTTTTTGCAAGTTCCCACAATTTTTACAAGTTCCTGCAATTTTTATAAGTTCCCACAATTTTTACAAGTTCCTGCAATTTTTGCAAGTTCCTGCAATTTTTGCAAGTTCCAAGTTCCCGCAATTCTTCGCAAGTTCCCACAGTTTTTACAAGTTCCTGCAATTTTTGCAAGTTCCCGAAATTTTTGCAAGTTCCCACAATTTTTGCAAGTTCCCGCAAATTCATTGCATAAAATTGCATAGATATACCGTATATTCCATCGCATTTTTAAGAAAACATGCTGCATAATCAAGGATTTTTGCCCGCAACAATCACAAAACAACTCTGCATCTTTCTGGAAGGACTGATACATTAAATATTATAAGTAAAAATATTTATTACTTATAATATATTATCCCTCTAAAGTGAAGTAGAAGAGGAGAGTGGCGTGAGATTGAAATATCAAAGTTAAAGTACCTCAAAGTTGTACTTAAGTAGAGTACTTGAGTAAATATATTTAGTTCCATGCCCATTGTCAGTTTGATTATTCAGAGAGGATCATGCACATTAATCAACATGAATAACAGTAACAGTAATGCAAACCAACTTGGTAATGAGGCAGGTACCAACAGTAGTTTACGAGTTATACTATTAAATAACAATATTTTATTAACTGTACATTAATGAGGACACACACAGCAGGCAGAGCTGATGATTGAACTTGCTTTTATTAAAAAACAAAGAATGTTTTCTGTCAGTAAACAGCTGTAGTCAGAGTGAAATATAAAAATAGGACCCTATGTGACTGGTTTTGAAAGTGTTACTGGGAGTTGAACTTTGTCACCACAGCCCACCCTGTCCGAGACCTGATCCACTCAAAGTAATGAGCCACCTGAAAGACAGAGACACATACAGAGTGTTATTATCAGAGGTGATACTGCCATTCTTTGAGTTAAAGTCCCGCCCTCATGACCTGCTGGCAACTCATCAAACAGCTGTTGAGATATTTTGACTCAATCTCCAGGAAAATTGTTGGCATTGTGCGTTCCTGTGACCCACAGATATGTTCCACTTATACATTATAATGTGGTGGAGAGAACAAAACTTTACAACAATGCTGTGGTTAATGTGTGGTCAGGTTCAGGCACAAAGAGCACTTGGTTATGGTTCGCTAAAGAGGCACAATCCTCGTCAACAACCAGTGCTGTCTGTAAACAAAACCAACTCTTGTGCCACTAACCCAACAGGAAGGACAGCGACAATGTCTTTTCATGCCTCAAACGAGACTGACAACAATCAGTGTCCACTAATCAGATCATCAGTGGTTCGATTGAGGTTGTTAAGAGATGAAAGGTCAAGGGGTGATTAAAATCAATACTCTGGAGAGCTGGGATTTGATCAGTATGTCTCTCCATGTATTCATGAGTTATGTCAGTGCTAAGCTGATATTTTGTCCAAAAGAAATGCTCATAGAGTGTCTGAAACACAACCTCTGTAATTTGTACATTTGTGGTGAACAAGTGAAAACTTCGGCCTCATGGTGTCAGCTCAAGAAAAAGTAACAGATTCACCAGAAACACCAGGATTTATCAGACGGGTGAAGGTGGCACTAATACAACGGCTTCACTTTTCTTACCTGTGTATAAACTCCTGGAGAGTTCGGCTGGCCACACCCCCTCCCCCAGCTGACGATGCCCCACAAGTAGGAAACACCGAGTTCATCCTTACACACCAGAGGACCTCCATTGTCCCCCTCACAGGCGTCCACGCTGCCATCCAGATCACCTGCACGCACAAACAAACCTCACATGGACTCTTTTCATGACTACAGTAAGTGTCAGCACACTGAGATATGAGTACTCCTACCTGCACAGAGCATGCCAGGTTTAAAGCTGTCGTTGTGGAATCTCTGACAGTCCTCAATGAGGGACACGTTGGCCCACTGCAGGTACGAGGACTGTATACCACCTATAGAGAAGTGCATCATCAGCACCAGGACCATCGTTTGAACAATGTGTGATGTACACAGCAGTGGCTCACGTGGTAAATCAGTATGATGTGCATATTTTCACCTCTGTACATTTATCCGTACAACATGGATGAAGTGTTGAGTTTGCAACTGTAAATTTAAACACAACGATGCCTAGGGGCTAGTTCAGGCAGTCAACTCGATTCATGCACACACGTTACTCTCCATATGTCTCGGGATTGGTAGCAGCACTCCTGAACATCATCAGCAGACACAGAAGGATACCTAACATGTAATATGTAGACGTGAAAGTCCACTGACAAAGGGGCGACATGTGACAACAGGGCCCTGGCATACTGTCATATCATAGTACCTCCATCTTGTCCCCATCCAGAGATAGTGCAGGTGTGGCTGGGATGGAAGAGCCTGGTGGTCCAGGGAACGCAGACAGGGCTGACTGCAGGGTTGTCCTCCAAACACTTGTCACTATGTGGGAGCTTCTGAAGCTGCAACAGGGCGATGTCATTCTCACGGGTGTTGGGGTTGTACCTTTATTTGAGTCAGTGGGTGATTTAGACATTAAAAAAGATTGGTTAGATCCAGTGTGATGGCATCATAAGATTATTGCTCTCATCTCTACCTGAATCAATGCTTTGCTATATTTCTTTTGACGATGTAGCACAAATAACACATTGTGATAAGTCCTGCATAATTTTGTTCTGTTACACCTGACAGAACCAAAGAGGGACCTCCAGTGAGCCTTTTCTTTTTTTAACCCATAAGGTCAGACTTTTGAGCAAAATTGTACCAATTATGTTAAAAGGCAAACTGCATCAAATTTGTCTGTATGCTGATGACTCTGTACAATACTTACCTAATGTCCTCACTGCCTCATGTACTTGGAATGTTCCAACATATTCTCATCCCAAGTTCTCACATATCGCCGCTTTGTGAGTGAACTTTCACAACAATATATTATGTGCTAGGTATCCTTTGACTTCTGCTGTCAGTGATACAGGACGCCATAACCAATGCCGGGAAGGCAACAAAAGCACGTGGTCAGGTTTAGACCTGAACACTGGCCTCCTGGGTGAAAGTGCAGGGTTCGTTGGACCCATCCACCACCCTCCTGCCCGCCCTACAGGGACTTTCCAGCTCTTTATATTACATAGTGACCTGCTTACCAATAGCGCATATCATACTTTTGTGACAGCCTACCCACCTAGCAAACTAACTTGCTAACCCTGCAGTAGCTTACAAGTTTTTTTCAGTGTTACTGAGGATTTTATTTAATTGTACTAATCTTAATTTGTGAAAATCGCTCAGCTCTGCAGAAGCACAAAGGAATTTTGAAAGAAGCACAGGAGCAGCTCACTGATGATGTCAGAGGGCCTTGATTGGTTGGAATTAGTTGGCTGGATGTGGGATTTTGGTCCAGTAGCCTGTCCTACTTTGCAAAAACACGTTGTGCATCTGCGTATCAACAGGTGTCGTCCAGCCACATCATGAACTGACACCGTCTGTCTGCAAATCATTCTGCAGTGACAGGTACTGTCTGGCTGACCGGCTACGCATCAGAACACCATGAAAGGTTCGGTCCAGCTACGTTAAAAACTGACACCATCAGCGGAGTATTATACTGCCGCCAAAGGTGGCTTTTGGTTTCGGTGATTGACGCTGAAATCACTGACAAAGCGGCGGTGTTTGATGATTTTGGAATGAGAACAGGCTGAATATTCAGTTTGGCTCTTTTGTCGTTTACACTGACTGTCAGAAATCTGTCCTCATCCCTCTCAGCTTTATGACCTGTAGAGCTAAACCTCCTTTACTCCAACTATTGATGAAGTTACATTTGCAATCATCTCTTTCTCTAAAGCGTAATCCTGTAAATTCATGTGGGAAGAGAAGCAGCCACTTATCCACCCTCCCAAGAAAATACATAGTCCCATAAAACTTTGTGATCTATCAGGTTCACCCTGGTGTGCCATACAAGTGGAGTTTTATTAATGTAATAAATTGTGACATATTCATACAGAGGGTGGACGTGGACATCTTTAACAGGAACAATATCTGTTGTTTCCTGAGGTCTGCTCCTCTTCCAGAGACTAAACTTCACAACCAGCGTAGCAGGATTGGGCCTTCAAGAGAGAAATGGATGACGATTACGGTCAGTGAGAGGACAAGAAGAAATCAAGATAATGCTCAACTTTTGAGTTCACTAAATAAAAAATTAAACGGATGATTACCTTTGGTTGTCTTGACCAGAAACTGCGCCTGTGGTGATGGAGAGGGACGGGTTTTGCCTGGAAGAGAGAGAGAAAGGAGAGACTTATTTGTAAAAGGAAAGAAGTGTTGTTTGCTTTTAAAGTTACATTGTCTACATCTTCCACACATTCAAGGTGACGTGTCAGCCTACATCTGTCTCTGGAACGTCTGACTCTCAAACTGTAATTTTTCTGCTGTCATGTGAATCATTAAAACTACACTGGCAGCACTTCTTCATGCGTCCTACCCGATGCAGTGAGCGGCAGTGACGACCCAGCAGCCTCCAATATAAGCTCCTCCGCACTGAATCCTTTTTTTCAGCTCGATAGCGACCTGCCACTGGATCTGAGTCTGCACACAGAGAACACATTATTATTGATCAGTAACAGCTCCACCCTGCTGTCTGCTGGTTCAGTCATTAGCTGTGGTTGATGGGGTGATAAAGGTAATGATTTCAGATTAAACTGACAGACAGAGAGGTTTGTGTGTGACTGACCCGTTGTGCTGGCCATCCTCCCAACACTCTCTTAAAGCGGCCTCCTCTTCCTCGCTCCTCATACTCATCGTTCTCTGTGCTGGTTTTAGGAATCCCACAGCTCAGCCTTGACTCCAGATGAGCTCTGGTGTTCTTCGTTTCTGCACAGAAACATCTTTTAAATGAATTCTTCTGACAGTTTTACATAAAGAACTGATAATCACTAGTGACCATCCCCTTTTTGAAAAATCACATTCTAAAATTTACAGAAGGTTCCTGACAATTATTTTTGCACCACAGAGCAAAGTCCCCTCCGCACCCACCATGAGACCTTATTATTAAAAAATAGAATAAAAAAATACGGTAGTCAACAGTGAGAGACAAATAACTTTTTGATCCAGTTTGAATTGTGCCATGAATTACACATATGAAGTTTGTCGATGTAAAACCTGGGTCTTTAACAGGGGGTCATTATTTTGTGTTCACACTGGGCGCGAATAAAACAATTTGCACTTGTGAATACATGTAAAGTCAACGTAGACGCGTTTAGAAGTGAATTGGTGGCACACAATGGATGCAATGCGTATGATACGAAATTTGCAAATTAAGCAGCACGGAAAAAACGTGGCGCGATTTCGCATCAGGCTGACGACGCCCCAGATTCAAACGTCCAAAAACACATAACTGAAACCACAAAATATCTCCATACTGCTCGTCCGTAGTGATCCAAGTGTCCTGAAGCCCCGACATAAAAAGTTGTATTTGCAGTATGGAGATATTTTGTGGTTTGGTTTTTTTCTGATGTGTTTTATTCACTTCTGGTCTTTTTATCAGCCGGGAAGCAAAACAAGGTTCACATGAGTGAGAAAGCTATGACATCACTTTCACAACATGTGAAGTCATTCTAACTATGTAGTTTCACAGATTTATTCTTCAACAGTTTTACAACAAACTGACTTTCTTGACTTGCATAATTATCTTTCTTCAAATCGGATGAAATGAATTGTTTGTTCGCCGTCAACTACTATATATATATATATATATATATA